GTTAGGTTCTTCAGGTTTTCAATGAAATATTTCTCAAAATCTTGCGTTTCGAGGTAGAAAATAGGTTTTGTGAACTGGTTGATGTATTTTCATTTCTGTTCGTTATTGATGTGTTCTCCGGTCTACCGAATGCGTTTCTTTCTTTGTTTTATATTGTGATAGATCTGATATTTGATTTTCATATTGTCATATATCTACTTTCACGCAGTTGTTGATTTGTCTCCTTAGACCACACCCTCCTTTTTTTACCGTCCAATTTACATGTTGTTTTTTGTTTGTTGATGAATATAAATCTCGGTTTTCAAATTGTTCCTTTGTTTCATTCTCATATTTAAGGTAACTGCTCACAAAAATGTCAGGAAGCGGTAGTGGAAAATACAACGTATCTGATCGTAACTTGGGACTTCTTCAGGAACTGGTAAGTTGTTGAAGTTTTCGCTTTATACGAGTTGCTCTAGTTGTTCTTCTTGTTGTTGTAACAATTCGCGAGCATTTCTGGTCTTGTTTTCAGGCGTTTATTGTACCCCATCGTCTGCTTGTCTTTCTTTGATGATTCCATCAATTGCTTTTGAATAATGTCAAACGTTTACGTAATGACTTTTATTTTTCATTTTTGCTCAGTGTCCATATAAGGATTATGTATGATGTGAATAGTATTATACTAGTTGTCACCAATTTATTCTACCCTCTGTAAGGTTTCGTTTTCAGATTGGCAAGGATGCGGAGTCATATAAGGAGGAATTTTTGGAGCAATTTCAGCATTACGTACAAACGATAAAATTGCTACATCTTCAGCCAAGTCAACATCGTATGGACATTGAGCCTGTGCTCGAATTGATCGGCTTTCTTTCACACGTATCATATCATTATTCAGGTATTAAAAGTATATTTAATATTCTATTCATGTAGATAATGGATTTGTAGTTTTTTGGAGTCTGAGTTGAAATTTTTTAGAAGAAGCGAAGCAGTTTGCTGATGGCGTTATCTCATTACTTCGCAACCAGGGTGCAGGACTCGATCCCGAGGTAAAGATTGTTTTTCGTCATTCTGATATCTATGAATTCTATTGTTGTTGTTCATTTGCAATTGTTTTGATTTGTACAAAATGGCCGTCTACATTAGGCTGAGGCTGTTTGCAGATCCGAATGGCGTTATGCAAAGCATTAGTGGTGCTTCGAAATCATAAAGTTGTTGCACCACTGGACGTCCTTCAGCTGTTTTTTGATTTGGTCAGATGCGAAGATAAATCTCTCAGGTACTTTGTCTTATTCGTATTTTGTCAGGAATTTCGGTTTTTGTATCATTTCAAGATGAAACATTGTTTGGCTTTATCTCTAAAAAATATTGCTGATGATAGGTTCTAAGGTTTTGAAGAATCATGCGAATTGATTAAATTGTAGCTTGAACAATTGATGAATCCTCGTATAATTCTTCCTGATAATAGGTTGTAAAATCTGATCCGTTATGAGAACGTTTCGCATGATCATGAAAAGAAAGGCGACGTTTGATTTTCACCCTCTTGTGTTCTTCATCCAAATTTTGCATGATCATGTCTTTCTTTTTTTTNTTTTTTTTCGCCAAATATATCAGAATTTATTTTTACCAATCCTTAACGTTTTCAACTTCCTTAGCATCATTGTCGCCATCAATCAAGAACACTCTATAGCTTAATGTTAGGGCACTGTCTGCATTCCTGGTTCTTTTCTCGCAATTTATTTACCGATATTTGAGCCTTTTTATATTTGAAGGAAATTTTTGTATGGTGCAGTGATATCGCAGTTACGAAAATTTGGCAAAGAGAAACGTGATCAAAAACTGTTAAGCAAAATGCAATCATTCCTGTTTGCAAAATTGAAAGATTCGCGTTCCATTGTTGTTAGGACGGCACAATTGGTTGGTTCATGAGTGATCTTATCTTCGGTCTTTGTAATTTCAAACTTTCTGAGCTTTTGTTACTGCCGAACTTTCGAATATGGATCGGCTATTAGCTCTTATGTTCGATTTTGTTTAAGCCGGTAATTTCTAAGTTGTTTTTGTTCGTTGCCATAGTATTTTATTGGATTTCTGAAACGTGACATGCTGATTTTATGAATGGTTCCATATGAAAGTAAATTGATTTTTGGGGGAATTGATGTGTTTGGGTGGAAATTTATCATTATGTGATTTCTTGAGAGTGCTTTGGTATGTCTCATTTCATTGTCAGTAGTGCTGAATCTGTTTCAAATAAAGTGTTTGTCTTACTCAGATCCTAATCGATGCATACCGGAAAGATCTGCTTAGGGACGCGAAGACTGTGAATGCAGTGGCAGAGTGTTGCTTTCATAGAGTTGCTAGAATTCAGGTTATTTTTGTTTCAGTGAAGCTAAGAAACTGTTTCGTTTGTTGTTCATCAGAATGGCCTTTTGTTTGAGCTGCTACTATGGGATACTTTCAAATTATTACCAGCATGGTCTAGGATTTGTTTTCAGGCAGCCGCAATGCGATTCTTTCTTGGTTCACCAAAAGATGAAGAAGGGATCGAGGATGATAGTGAAAGCGACGATGAATTCCACAATGAAGAAGATCAGAAAACACTGAAAGAGGTAAAAATTATGGAGTTCTAATTGCTAGTTTTTTNTTTTTTGAATTTTGCAGGTTTTCATCATTTTAGTGATTCAAATACGTTGTGTGTTTCATGTGATGCCATCGGTGTCGTATGTTAATTTTGTTAGCACGGAATTTCGTGAATGTATCATCCATTGATTGCAGGTAATGTGTGCATTCCGAGCGGCTAAGAAAACACGAAAGAAGACAAAAAATTTCGAAAAAGCCAAAAAAGCAATTAGTAAAGAGAAGAAGGCCAAGAAAGGTTAGCAGTGGTTATCTTAATCATAGAGAGTTTATTGGTTCCAATATCTAAAATAGCATTCAACTTTTCTTATGTTAATTGCCACGAAATTCGAAATTTATCGGTACTGTTTCTTGATTCAGTCTGCTTTAGGCTATAATCATATAATTAAGTCATTAGAGTCGTTGGTATTGACCAATTACGATTGTTTGATTGATTATTGTGGTGGTGTATGTTTTAGAAGGTCGCAGTAAATTGTGTAATCTGTTGGCGATTCAATCTTTGTATGATGCGCAGTCGTTAAGTGACCGACTGTTCGGTTGTCTCGAAGCGAAAAAGAACGAGAAATTCGAGCTGCGTCTTTTGCAAATGGCACTATGTGCTCGAATCATTGGAGTGCATCGTCTGCAGACGTTGGGATTCTACTCGTATCTTCATCGCTACTTACAACCGAAACAACGAGAGGTTCATTGGTTTTCCGTGCAATTTTTCGTTTATCAGTAATCAGAAAACTTATGGATAATTACGATTTTGGAAAGTCTTAAAAGGTTTCGCAGATTTATTGAGTGTTCATGATATTCTCAATATCGTACATTTGCATCATCTCAGGTTGGAAGTGGATAGTGTGGAAGTTGTGAGGGCTCACACTTTCCCATATTCTTTAGCGTGGCTTATATTCCACTTCCAGTGCATGAATTAGCTTTTTGGACGAATTGAGTTGGTCGTGTGAATCAATTCAGTTGACCCTTCGGCGGGCTCTGTACGTTGTCTAACAAAATAAGTGGAACTGTTAAGGTGACAAGAATATTGCTGTATGCCGCGCAAGCTTGTCATGAGCTTGTACCACCGGACATTGTCGAGCAAATGGTTCGTGTGATCGCGCAGAATTTTGTTACTGATCGAAATACGCCTGAAGCGATAACCGTGGGACTGAACGCTATCCGAGAGGTGTTTACGAATTGTCCGTATGCTGCAACCGAGGAACTGTTACGGGATCTGGCCGAGGTGAGATAGTGAATAAACACGTTTACTTTTGTCGATGATTTCAATCGGTCGCAGTAAAAGAGTATATCTATTTCATATCAAGCCTCAGGGGAATATTTTTTTAAATTCCGTTTTTTCTTCAAGATTCTTTTCAGTTGTAAACAAATATTTTAAGAGTCACTCCTTAATTCCTTGCTTATTTGGCGGTGTTCACGTACGTTTTTGAGTCGTTGTTAATGCATGTTTCTAGAAACTCATTTTTTCCATCTAGTTGATGCAAATTTCAGTACAAAAGATATAAGAACAAGAATGTGTCAATGGCGGCTCGTGGATTAATCACACTGTTTCGATCGGTTAATCCGAAATTATTGCACAAAAAGGATCGTGGACGGTACATTCTTTTTCATTCTATTGGATTCTTGATTATCTATTTGAATTTGTGATTTTATCCTCGTTCGAAAAAGCTCTTCTCATGTTCAGCATGTAAAGGCGATTCGTTTACGAGCGGTTAGTAAATGAAAGCAGTAAATGCCAGCAGTTTCAGGCCTACTGAAGCGACGAAAGAATTGGAAGTGCCTGAATTTGGTGTTTCGAGAGTCAAGTCGTACGTTGTTGGTGCTGAATGTTTGCCCGAGGAGCGTGAAGATACTGGAGAAATGGAGGTTAGACATTCAAACGTTCGATTCCAAACTGTAGGTTGACGTCTGAGTTGTGTAAAATTCGCACACTAAAATCCTTGGGATGTTGTTGAATTGTTTCGACTGATGCAAAATTTCATATTAAGTGTATTAGATAAATGAATGTGTTCGTTGCATTTTAGGTTGACGACATTGATACGGATTCGGATGATGGATCGTGGGAAGATATACCTGATTCTGGTATGTCGTTTCATTTCATCCTTACTGAGTTTATTGCTTATCATGTTATTACGTTACGGATAGCTTACGGATAGTCGTGTTATTACGTTACGCGTATTTAGCACGAAATATTTTATCGGTATTGCTGTACTGCTGTTGTGAGAAATAGATGCTTGGACACGATGAGAAAAGAATCATTTGATTGTTGTAGATGTAGACGAAGAGGTGCACCATCAAGAAGGTGCGACAAATAGTGGTGTAAAAGGAACTGAAAGGGAACACGAAGTTGACGAAGGTTCGGAAGGCATCGAGTCTGATGTTGAGGGCGAGTCTGCGAGTGACGGTAGTGATGAGGAAGTGGTCGATGATGCTGACGAATCAGATAGTAATGCTGACGAAACGGAGGAAAAAGAACGTGGCAAAAACGTCGGTGAACGAGCAGAAGAAACTAAAAGTAACTTGAAGGACGAGCACGATAGAGGATCGGGAAAACGAAAAAAAGTTCACTTCAAGGTGAGCGCATTGTATACGGGTATTATCATTCAGTTAAGCAACAGTTCGGTAGAATTATTTTACGGTTGGTGAAGTGAATTGACACATTTTCTAGGGCGTTGTGGACGAAGCGGACACGAAAGGTGATGAATTGTCAGCGGCTGAGAAAGCGCAGAAGATCAGTGAAACACGAATTTTGACGCAAGAGGAGTTCCGAAAGATTCGAGCCTATCAAATGAAGAAACAAGTGGCAACAAAACGACAAATAGAAGGAACGAAAAAGCGACGGAACGATGACGTTAAACTGGACGAAGAAATGGAAGAGAAATTTGCGAGGTAAAATCAAATTTGTGTGTTTCAGTTGATATCTTTCGCAGAGCTAATCGTTTCTTTAGTTGTACTTTGTTTCTAGTTGTTTCTTACTGTTGTGGAGAAAATTTTTCGAAACGATGATTGAATCAAATATCTCGTCTGAGCGTAGATGGTTGAATTTTTCACAAATTTTCGGATTTTGAAAATTCACTGTCGATGTTTTCATCAATGTAATATCAAAAGTTCATTGCCTGAGATTGTTCTAATTTGAAGCGTTTGTGTCAAAATGTTCTAAGACAGAGAATATTTCCGATCAGTGATCGCTACGGTGAATATGTCAATGTTTTCTAGACGTGATGAAGGCGACGGCTTGCCACGTCTCAAAGACATCGAACAGTTCCATAAGAAACTTTATCGTCATAGTAAAGAAGATCGGATTGCTTCTGTTGAGGCTGGTCGAGAGGGTAGGGAGGAGTTCGGGAAACCGAAGAAAAGGGTAAGTGAACGAGAGTTTTCATGAAGCGAATTAAACAGAGAGTAATGTTATTGTTCTTTGCGATCAGTGATGATCTATTGAAATTCATTTGCTTCTGTGATGAAGGCAATGTTACGCGTTGGAAAACATTCGTAGAAAAATGGTGAACTCTATGAAGAAAACATGATCGACATTTTTGGAATAGGCTTGTCTTCTGGGATCTGCGGTTACTTCGCCACCCATTTTAAAATTTCGGGTGATTATTTCCTGGATCTTCAAAAATGCCAACAAACACATATCGAGTTGTAGGGTGCTCATGTTGGACGTACGAATCGTGAATTGGCGAAACGAAAAAATTATCAGATGGTTCGGCAAAAGGTGAGAGGTAAAAACCGCAAACGCAGCTTCCGAGATCAGCAGCATAGTTTGAAGAAGTATCTGCTGCGACAGGCTGGAAAGAAAGTTTGAGTGGTGTTGCTGCGTTGCTGATTGACTATCAATCGTTACTCGATAAACTAAGATCGCAATTTCGTTTTCTTTCCACCTCTCCGCAGTTTTCTCCAGTTCTAGTTGGATTTATTACGTTCTGAATGAGTTGGATTTTGAACTATAAATGTGGGATTGCTGTGATCGAATCAACGTTAAATCTAAAGATGACTGCTGTTTTGAATTTATTTTTCGAAAACCACTAATCATTGTTTACGAAATGTAGGATTATGAATATTAGCAAAGTTCCTGCTTCACTGTGCCATTTTTTCCATGAATGCAGCTGTAACCAGTTGGATGTGTTCTAGATTTGCATAATGTTTTTAGAACAGCGTTAGATGCGAGGTTAAGTATTTGAGATGATTGAAATGAAGCAAGAACATAAAAGCAGAATAATATGCCACTCTCTTAGCATGTTCCAATATTTTCTAGTTTATTAATGAAATATTAAATGAAAGATAACATATTTGTTGTTATGAATGTTGTATTGAAATGTTTGTTATATGTTATTTGAAGGATTTTATTGTGATTGAATCAGTTTTTTTTTTGATTCTCTGTTATTATGATGTTGAATGAAACTCTGTTGATCGTATTCTTTTAACACTCGGCTATTGCATCGTGTTTCACATGGCAAAACATTTAATAACGTAGGGCTCTAAAAATTTAAAGATACTGCCATCAGGTTCACGTTGCTTCATGTAATTGCGGCAACAGCTCAATTTATGTGTTTCTTTTGTGTACGGTAAACGAGAAAGATTTAATTTCGGCTTTTCAGAGGGATCCTGGGAATATCCACGTACCGCTGAAATGTTAGTTAATAAAAAGCAAACCATTTGCATTAGGTGGCTCTGTTTGATGGGTCAACGTCAAATTAAACTTGACTTCTGTAGTTGGTTGTTGTTTTTGATCGTTTGAGACAAAGCGCTTTGAGTTAACTGCTTGTATAGAGCAGTATATGATGAATCGTGAAAATGTCAACGTCGTTCGTATTACTGAACGCTGAGAGTGCTCATAGGATTCAGATTTAACTGTGAAGTTTTGTCTTGCTACCACATGCTAGTAGTGCACTCTTGAATTTGCGAAAATAACGATCGAAAGCCAGTTTGAGCAGTAAAAAGTTCCTNCCGGCGTGAAAAGTCTTGAACTTAGGAGATTAACAGATAACAATAATTCAAACTGAAGCAATGTAAATAAAAAGTGATGTATTGCTCCTGTAAACGAAGCATTCGTTGGAGAAGACTCAGTCGAAACAATTTGGATAAGACGATTCGAGATGAAAAATCTGGCCGAAGGAGATCACCAAAATTCGCAACGGATTCAGATGAGACAATGTCGTTTCCATGATCAATTGATTATGGTGTGAATTAGAGCATGGTGTGAACTTAATGCGAAAGATTGACTTATTAATTAAGAAATGATTTTCATAGATGAAACGATTTTCATAGATGCTCAAGTCGTCATCTAAGCAGTGCTTCATCTTGTTCGCTTTGACCGAAAGCAAGCAGCACCATTGATTTGTTGGACGTTCAAAAAGTTATTCGTTTAGGAGATACACAGGTTTGCCTATCTTAGCGCCAGACAATCTCCATGTTTCCATGATCACAAACTGAAAAATGTGTCCTTTCATGGAAGTATTTGCTAATGGGAAATATCTGTGATAAAATCGAGAAAATGGAGCGTTCCTAACAACGAAATGAGTGCTGAACCAATCGCAATAGAAAATAATCATTACAGAGTACGGAAATGAATCCTGAATAAGTAAAATATGGGGCTGAGCCGGGGATCGATCCCGGGACCTCTCGCACCCTAAGCGAGAATCATACCACTAGACCACTCAGCCATGATTTCAGGTCACCTACCCTCTCTTGAAACGTTTTCCATGAAAAAAACCGGTTTTATGATCGCCTACATTCGCTGGTAACGAAGATCCTTTCTGAATGTGACTGAAAATCGGTTATTAATCATGATTTCATGTATAAAAAATCCTTCTCGAAAACAATGCGCTATTCATAATGTTCATTTTACAGTTATATTTGTAATTGATGAAGTTGTACTAGACAGAAGCCGGTTCACTTATTTTCACGTTGAACACGCTGAGTTGAATACACCTGTTAGGACAAAGTATTGCTCAGAAACGATTACGAGTTCATGGCTTATGCCGTAACGATTCATTATACGACTTTTTTTAAATAAAAAACCATAGAATCCGCTCAAAGCTACATACACAACTCA